GGGGGGCATTGAAAATTTTAAAAACTTGGAGGGGGGGCATCAAAATTTACCGATAACCTCAACAGGGGCCCTGTAAAAATATGAGCTTTTTTCAAGACATCTTCATCCCCCTCCCTCGGTGTAATAAATGTACTTTCCCTAAACGCTGTTTTCTGACCATCAGAATTCTGTCAAATATTGATCTTCCCCAAAGTCCAGGAAATGGCATTTCAGAGACTCTAAATTTAAAATTTTCCTCGGGCCTTCGGCCCTCGTTTTCAGCCCCCCAATCAAAAAGAGCTTCTTACGGCACTGCCTTCGTGGCTTCGTATGCCATGAAAGATTCGGAAATATTCTTCGTCATTCGGAAATTTTTGCCTGACACCCCCCCCCCCCCCCCCCCCCCCCCCCCCCCCCCCTCCCCCAACTACACATGCTAGCTACGGCCCTGTACTGGACTAATTACCTGCGCTGGCATTCCTGGCAAAGAAACGCACTAGAAAATGCAAATACAAAGCCGCTGCATGAAGATATATGGCATATGCAGATCTCAATTTTAGAATGTCATTCTTGCGCAAATATTCAATTGTATTCAACTATATGCATGGCATTGGATAAAACTTGGATTATTGTCGCTTTATAGTTTTTCTTTATTCGTACTTTCGTATGAAAGAATTATGAAAGTTATATACACGAATGGTAACAGAAGGATTCCAGTCCAGAGGCCGCGAGCCAGAGACATTAAACTACCAGCTTAATCAGGGTCCGTATTCAGTTGCCATACAGTTGAATACAGTTGTATGTTTCCGCAATATTGATATTGTAACCTAGCCATGTAAATTGAGTTGGTGCTTTTCATATGTTTATATTTGATTATCAACCTATCTGACTCATGTTCATTAAAGTGCACATACAGCTATTCTGAATTTTACATATTTGTAATATTCAGTACATTTTAAGATAAAATGCTATATATTTTCTTAGTGAAAAACGTCATCTTCGTGCTCTTTTTGGCTGTTAAAGTTTCCGGAACTGACGTGACGGAACTGAAGAAACAATTGAAAACTCATTTGCATTACCTTATTTAAATGACATCAGTTCCCGAAACTTTAGCAGCCAAAAAGCCTGACCACGAAGCAGTGGCGTAACTACTATGGGCTCAGACCGGGAGAACCCGGGGGCCCCAACCACAATGGGCCAAAATGGGGGCCCCCAAGCTTAGGCGATAGAGCAAAAACATTGGCCAGGGCCTCTCTGATATGTTACAATGTCGTTTTCTGACCAACAGAATTCTGTAAAATCTCTCCCCAAAGTCCAGGAAATGGCATTTCAGAGAGTCTAGATTCAAAAATTTTCCGGATGAACATGCCCTGGACCCCCTAGAAAACCTGTGCATATACGGCGCTCGACTCGTGACTTTAGCACTTCTACTAGGGGGGCCTTCGAAAATTTTGAACCGGGGGCCCCCTGATATAACGTTACGCCACTGCCACGAAGATGACGTTTTTCACAAAGAAAATGTATTGCATTTCATCTTAAAATGTACTGGATATTACAAATATGTAAAATTCAAAATAGCTGTATGTGCACTTTAAAGCGTAAATTTCAAATATCGCAGTTTAATTTATGCAAAAGCGCAACTGACGTGTGCTGGGGCAAGCTTTTCGCTCAAGTTGCATAGACTCGAGTTAGAGTCTATCGCGTAGGCTAAATTTCAGAGTCTCAATAAATTGCAGTTGAACTTCTCGCTGATACAGTGACACTGGATACAAATATTATTTGTGTTTCACTTATTGTACTGGCTTATTTATCTTTTGTATAAAGCAAAATAAAGAAAGGTACACTTGGGGGTCGACGCAGCTTGCAAGATTTTTTTCGGCCGTCTGCTTGTGCTGAAATTTTGCGCGGAATTCTAAGGGTAGTTTTCTTTGTTTCATCTTTGCACGAATTTTTTTGTTTTTCTGGGCGCGGATATTTTTGCTTCCACTCGCCAATCACTTTTTAATGGTCTGTCCCTTGTGGCTATATTCTCTAATTTAGAGCGTACTACGGAAAATTGTTTTTTGAGCTACTTTGCCATCAAATGATAATTGAACAGTTGAATATTTTTAGTCTTACAAATGCTTATTCTAATTAGCGAATGTCGTACCAGTACACAAACGGGGTGAGAAATCCTATGTAGAGAACTACCGTCCAATCTCGTTGCTTCTTCCCCTTATCACCAAAGTCCTCGAGCGTTTTCCATATAAACATCCAACATCATGTTTTCAACAAATCAACCCTTGTCAACACGGTTTTGTTCCACGAAAGTCATGCGTAACGCAATTGATCGAAGTATTCGAACAGATAGGTCGGAAATTAGACAACGCTAAGCAGATAGACGTGATTTACCTGGACATGTCGAATGCATTCGATAAAGTAAGTCACGCTCAGCTCATGCACCGATTACACGAGTTCGGGTTTCTAGGTAACCTTCTCAACTGGTTTTAATCCTACCTCAGCAATCGTTATCAGCAGACAACAATTGGTGGAGCAACATCAAGACCGTTAGCAGTGACATCCGGTGTACCGCAGGCAGGGGCGGCGCTAACCCTCTTCGAGTGGGGGGGGGGTTGAGTGATCTTTTGCCGACTGTTGTTTGGTAATTTTGCCGAGTCATTAGCCTATAGTGAGGGTCCTGAAGGGGGGATCCCAATCCCATTTTCCACCTGAAATTTTGGCAAAATCCCAGTCCCAGTTGGATTTTTATTCGAAATCCCAGTCCGAGTTATTGAAATCCCAGTCAATAAAAAACCCTTTATATATCGGTAGAATAAACAGTTTTAAGACCTTCTAAGCCACCGTGTGTGCAAGTGGCGGACATTTTATGAAATATTGGGGGGGGGGGGGGGGCCGAAGGCACGGAAAATTTTTAAATTTGAATCCCGGAACTGGCATTTGCATCATTCTGAGACACGCATAATCAGAAAACCCAAAATTCCTGTCGGCATCCATTTTGCAGCCCTCGAAAAGTCAAAATCTCGGCATTTCTTAAAATCTGTTCCACGTCTTGGAGCACTATTAATCACGCATTTACGAATCATTGAAATCGGAATATAACTGGAACGTTACCTCCAGCTGAAAAATTCGGAAGTTGGAGCC